CGAACTGAGTTTTGCATGTGGGTGTTAGATAAAGTGGCAGAAAATGAAAAGTTTTTCGAAAATGTGTTATTTAGTGATGAATGTACTTTTCATAATAATGGTCTCGTGAATAGACACAACTTTCATTATTCATTCTGATACGAATCCGTGCGCATACAGGGTCATGAAAAATTAAATAGGTGGTCAGTTAATGTGTGGGGTGGAATATTGCGCCAATATTTAATTGGACCCTATTTTTTTTAAGGACATCTAAGGTTTGATGTTTCTCCCGTTTCTAATAAACCATCTCTTAATATTATTAGAAGAAGTCCTTTTCAATATTAGAATCAACATGTGGCTTCAATTGGATGGAGCTCCGCCTCATTATCACTGCCAACTTTCAAAACAGGTGGATTGGCAGAAATGGGTTTGAAAATTGGCCCCCCAGATCTCCGGACTTAACTCCACTAGATTTATTTTTGTGGGGTACATAAAAAGAATTGTCTACCATACGCTTCCGACAACTTCTCTTATGCGACTCTCTTATGCGACAACGCATAAGAAACGCTTTTAAAACGGTAACTCCGCAAATGTTGTCCAGAGTTAGCAGTTGTTTTGAAAAAAGAATTTGAAAGTGCCTGGAAATGGACGGTCAATATTTCGAACATTTGTTAAATAAAATATTTTTTTTTTTAGTTTAAATAAATAATTTCCCTTTGTTTCATGTTATTGTTGATATGTTATTTAATCTGATCAAGTCAAAAGATCCACATAAAAATTTTCCGTTCCAGGCCTTCAAATTAACACGATAAACTTGACAAACGGCAACAAGTTGGTTCGCTTTAATATTTATTTTTGCCGATTCTCAATTTTCACCCCACCACGTCTTCTAACCGCTTCGCAACGACTTTGTTTGGCGGAACCTTTCGCCCACGATCTTCATGCAACCCCAGAAATCGTGTGAAGTTTGACGTTTTCAGGTGGCCATTTTGCACATTTAGTACGTGCACGGCCGTTACATCTTGTCTCTGGCCGTTATTTTATTATGGTTTCGCTTTGTTTTTTCAGTAGACGGACATTTTGCGCGCTGACCAACGCGTTTATAGCATTAGCTTGCAATATTAATATAAGAACTCACTTTCCGGTTTTTACCAGCATGAATTAGGGGAAATGGAAAAAAAGCATCGACCAACGCAAAAATCATAGAAAAATCAAGCGAGAATAGGCGTAACTAAAATTTAAATGAATCGACGCAACGCTAAAGAATCAACATTAATTACAATTTAATTTTCAATAAAAATGTATAAAATCATTCCTTTTCCTGGAAAGTTATATTATGTTAAAATAATTCAAAATAATCGAATTTTATCCCCAATACCTTGACCAAAACAAAGTAAATTTGAATTTAATGAATCGTATACGTTTATATAATACCCACTTTTATCTGATAAAATTCGTTATTTCTTGCTACATATCCAGAAATGGATATAAAAAAATTTAGAATTAGAAAAGTTCTTGTTTAAATTTGCCGAGAGCCTTTAAAGCGGTGTTGTCAAAGTGGAACCGAAACCAGTTCGTAATTAATAAAGGACGAAGTATGCGTGGTCATTGTCATTCTTAGAGTAAATGACTTCTATTCGCTTATTATCTTAATTTACGTTTTTCGTGCTGTAGTTTGCATTGTTTACACGCGTGTGATGCGAGCAGTGAGGATAATATTAATCAATTAAATCACCTAGTAAAGTGAATCTTTGCAAAGGCCTGTAGGTAGTAGTCTGAAAATTTCCACTTTTATTAACCTCGAACTTTCTAAAAATAATTGATAGACTTGCGCCTTTACTGAGGTCAAACAATTCCAGTTATTATAAAGTGAGGAAAAGGAACTAACATTTTGAATCGGGGTACAATGTGCTAGTGGTTTAGATTAGTTCAATAAACCGTGGATTCGACACAAGGTAAAAATGGTTTATTTGTCTCATTTACATTCATTTTATTTCATAATAATTTGCTTTAATTCAGTCGGCTCAAAAGCGCCCTCCAAAAGTCCTAAACGAAGCCGCGAAGCGAGCCTCGACTGCTTTATTAAAATTCAATCATGTAAATTTTTACCAGCAGCCTTGCGACGTTATATAAGGTTTTCATATTATGCAAATCCAAATATTGTTTATGGCATTAGCTGATTCCTTTGCTTCGTTTTCAAATAGCTTGATTGCCATTATCCAGCCTTTTAATAGCACAGTTCATTGTCTAAAGCTTGCACTCAAATGCATTCCATTATAAATAGATCTGAAGCACCCCTCGAAGTTCCTACACAAAAATACCTGAAAATCCATATTATGTATCTTAATGTGTTCTAAGTTTTTAAATTCCTAATTCTTTAAACGTTTCGGTTTTACTGCAAGGACAGCTAATAATATTGTTCATTTTTATAATACCTGATGTATTGTTTCGATAATTAGGTAAATATACCGTCAAGGATGCCTAATGCAACTGGTATAATCCAGGGAATTATTAGATGCATTAAACACAGACATTATTAAGTAAATTAACCTTCTGGTTAGCAATCGGTGAAAAGTCTTAAGTATATTTGCTGGAATTTCGCTTATATTGTACATAAGAACCACATTATTAATTATCAAACTAGTACATTTCTATGCCCCAAATAAAGCTAGTCCAAGCAAATAGATGATGAAGTAATTGAACCAGGTCAATTAATTGAGTTTGACGTCCCTACAGCAAATGAATGAAAACTTATTGTCCCGCGATTGGCAAATAATTGATTATTTAATACCTTTGATAGTATGAACAGTTTATTAATAATAGATTAAGATTGTTGGTTTCTGGAAACATCTAGATGTTAAATAATGGGTGTCCAATTAGCGCCAAAGAGTACTGTTATCAACTATCCCGGATGATTTGATTTTTCTAAAAGCCTCGCTATATTTTTTTGTACAAAGACAGTATTTCTATAGCAATTCTCTGTTTATAATTGATTATTTTTTATCGTTTACTGGATTTTTAGTAAATTGTCCAAAGAACTGCAACCTTCTCACCGATTAATAATTTAACTAGCTACCTAATTGCATTACCTATAATAATTATGAGAACGAAATATTGAAATAGTAGAAAAAGTGTTTGGTCACTACATGCGAAATCAATGGAATAGTTTTTCCTGCGCTTTTATCCTTCACTTTCTTCCACGGTTAATTTAGTGATTGATTCTCTATTTTGTTTTCAAGGCAGCATATAATACAGCTAGACAATGAGAAACCTTGGCTTATTTGCTCGATAATTCACCACCAAAAAAAGAACCCTGCATCGAAATAATAGCACTTGCTTACAAGGGGTAATTTGAATCAGTGACTATGTAACTAAGCAATCGTGTACTTTTATGGGTTATACTTGTTGAGGCATGTAGGTTGAGTGGTTTATTCCGGACTAATTCCGGTCTTACAAAGATGCTTTTTTCACAACATTTCGATTCGACCAAAACGTTGTGAGAAAAACATATTTGAAAGGCAATGGAAGTTCAAATAAACCACGCAACCTCAACATTCTATACCTACCACTTTTAATCATCAGATTGGTAAATTCAGTGATTGAAAACATCACTGTTCTAACCGCATGCTGTTTTATGTCAGCGCTTAAAAATGATCGTGCAATTGTTATTGTTACTATTGTAATTTACTGCCCATTAGTAGGAAATTCGCAATAAAAAGTAATTTTCATGTGCATGGTATCAGCTTAAAGTTATCGTGAGATGCACTTTGAAGGCCTTCTGATTAATGCGGATATTATCGAAATATGTGGAAATGTGTGCTATTATCTTTAACTATATGAGAACTAGTTACGAAACTTCAATCGGTCTGCTGCTTATAAACAGTTCGGTCAATTTAGTCGGACAAAAACGGTGAAAGAAAAATGCATCCTTTGATAAATCATTTTTGAATAATTCTAAAAATCCATTTTAGATAGACCTAGTATGTGTCTACCAAGCTTTCCACTCTAAATCTGGTGAAACATGTAATATATACCGAGTAGTTTGTTAAATTTTGGTTTAAATCATTATACCAACATATGCACCCGTCGAATATTGCAAAATCATCTAAAGGTGAAGGGTTAGATATTTTGGCATTATCGCTCCCAATTCTCAAAGGTACTCAAAATAATTATCGATCTGGCACGTAAACGTGTTGTTTTATCATGTACCCGGTGATGAAAGCGACTAGATAAGATTTGATTATAAAAGGGTATGATAATTAGCCACATTATTGATAGCGGTATTTTGATACTTTAGTCCAGTTTCAACGAACATCCCTAAGCAAATGTTATCTGACTGCATTTCTACTATCTATCCCTGCTAATTAGTTTAAAGTGATTCGTCGATTCAATCGGGTATGTGAGCATTATCTATGAATTAGATGTAGGTAATAATAAGCACACTTAAAACTTAATGAAGCTCCATAAATAAATCGTTTGGATTATTATTAATTCCCTTCGATCTATTTTTACATTACTCACTCATGACGAACGTTTCTATAATGAATGAGGGAAGAATAAATACCTTCAATTAGATTAGATTTGACTTGTCACTGTTGCCCAAGGATTGAATTGTTCCTCCATGTGAAAGTGAAAGTGCTATTGAATTAATTCAATCTGGACACACCGTATTAAGTAGCAATTTTTCAATTACGTTTTCATTGACAATAGTCTTTGTTGGGTTTTACTGTAATAATCGCATTCAATACAATAGATTCCGAGGTACAATATTAATACTGCCAAGTTTAGATTGGTCAAGTGCTAATTGAAGTCGGTCCAGTGGCATCGCACAGTGCAATCTGATCGAAGTGTTTGTGATAGTGGATATGATTTAAATCTTTAACCGGCTGCAACGCGTAAGCTGTTTTTTGCATTGCTTTATCCTACAGATGATGTTAATTTCAATTAATTTTATAACTGCACTTGTTCAGAGCGTGACTCCAGGACACAGATAGCACATATCTTGGCCTAGATCTGTTTTCAGTTTAACATCAAAATCCAAGGTTTTTTTTGGATACCGAATTTTGGCCCGGCAATAGCAATAAGCCGCGATTTACTGCGATGCATAAGATTTGTAAATTATGCGGAAAATTGAGCAATGTTTTCCCATTTTCTTGTGGCCGTTACTTCAGCACATACACTACGAACATATGAACTTGCAATTCCCATAATGCGAATACCTACGTCGAGTTATCAGGTTTTTCACACCACACCAAAGTAGGCAAACAGTTTTGTGGTTTTCGTGTAGAAATTGAAATCATGGTTTAAAAATAAGTGATTAAATGCTTTTGTGTACACTGGTGTATTTAGGCAAAGTCAACACCTTTGAGGCTCTTTGAAGAACAGGAACTAATGCATAAAATATTATTAGGCCTGATCTGTGTCGGCTAAGGCTTTGCGCGAAATTCTCATGTGAATATTAATTAGAGCGAGTTTTTGGAATGTGAAACATTATCAATTTGTCCTTTGTAAATAACGTCTATTGAAGCAACTGAAGTATTTTTTGCAGCCTTGATTATCAGTTGAAATACCTAATTAATGTGTTAACAGGACGTATTAAGAATAACAATTACTCGTTAACAGTGTCATTAAACATACATGCGCTCTAACAATGGAATTGAGAGTCACTCTTGTAACCGGCTCATTTGCAATGAAGGAACCAATTTATTTAGTTGCGAAAATTTTCAGCAAATCATCAAATCGGTTTATCAATGTATTTTACATACGTTTGAGGCTTTTATTTGGGAATATTTAATTTGAGAGCTTTCAAGTTTTGATTTGGAAATATTTTCGAGTTTTTCGGGGTTTTAAGGGCGAAAACGTCTAAAAACTGGAAAAACTCACCAGTTGAAGTCCATTTTGAAGATTGAACGAATGCTTGTTGCAATTTATACTTCTACTGTTGTTCTTTAAAACCCATAGGTTAATACTAATTTATCTAATTCCGCTCGCTTATAAAGTTTCAAATCGTAAATATTCCAAATATACGCCCGAGTTCTGTTGAAAGTTTCAATATATGCATGGAGAAAAGTAAATTGTTTAAACCGGTAGTGTCGCAATCGCTACAAATACGTAACATGCAAATCATAGAGTTGTTTAAATATTTGGTTTTTCGCCATGCGTACGGTTATTAAATTTACAAAAGGATTTACTGTGCTTCGTCTATTAAATCGGTTGATAGTTTTAGTTTAGTTGGTTTTTCTCTGGCTATTACTATTCAGCTTTATTTGCTGCTGATTGAAAAAGAAAATTGAATTTCTAGACCTTGAAAGTAAGAGCCAGGAATTGCATATTTTCTATGAATAACTCACCATCAACTAAACCTTGGGAATTATTCAGGCAAAAATAACCACTCGATCATTCGCGATTGATTCCATTACGGAGAAATTCATATGACTAAATTGACCTTAGGAGGACGGTTGTTCATAAGCAGGTTCTTCCTTATTACCTGCAAATAAGAAGAAAAACAGCACAGCTAAGTTCGGATACGAAAGAACCTTGATATTAAGTAGACGAAATAACAATGCTCAAAGTCGGCAGACTAAAAATCCTCATAAATTTCACTGACACACAATGGATAATGCATAAATAAATTGATAAGATGGCATTCTTGAATTGACCTACTTTCGAAAAATAGTATTAATAGGTTTTTTTTGAAAATTTGCCAGAATCCAGTTAGCCAAATTTTGCGATAGGTTTTTGCCTCTCGGAGTGTTTTGAGTGTCCCAAATTGATAATATTTCAAAAACAATTTGTCTCCCTACATAAATAGTGTTCAAGTTGTAATGTGAGTAATAGCGAAATTCCAAATTGGGCTGGCAACTTACAAAGAAATCTGTCGTATTTAGGAATTGAACCGCAAGGCGTTATTTTACAACTGTTGTGCAGCGTAATCGGATTCGAAAGTGGATTTACATATCATTCGGTAGAACCTGGTGAGTTTTACGGGCTTTTAGGCGCTCGTAGAAAATAATTTCTTCCATACGTTGAGCCACTCATGCTTGCAAATCATCAGAAAGAAATACTCCCCCACAGCGGTCTAAAAGCCCGAAAAACTCACCAGTTTCGGGCGATGGCCGCAAAAGCCTTTTCTCTAGCTGATTGTACCAACCTGAGGTTTTGTTTAACAGCAAACACGTTTACTGCCTCTTAATTTATTATGTCAATTGATGTTTAAACAACAGTAATTATCCTCAATTAAGTCGAGCAATGAATGGCAGTAATCTTACAAGCGTTCTTGTTTTAGGACACAAACGAATTGCAATATGGGCAAATGGACGGGAAAAAAATGCCGATTACTGTCCATGCTGATTCTGACCACGTTCTTCTTCTTCGTGGAGATTGTGGTGGGATATATTACGAATTCAATGGCTTTGGTAGCTGACAGCTTCCACATGCTCAGCGATGTAGCTGCTTTAGTTGTCGCATTCGTCTCAGTGCGGGTAAGTTCTTGTTGACTTTGAAAATGAATTAATGACGAAGAGATCATTTAAAATCCTGGAACTAAAAATAAATCGTTTTGATTAGTAGGCTTTCAAGTATATTCTATTCACTATACTCGGCAAATATGCATGAAATTGGGAAGCGATACGCCTTAGTACGGCTTGATTCTCCCAAGCCTTTTTATGTAGCCGTGCTTAATAGGGTTTATAATGCAAATACTTTTTGAACGCTTTAACAAGTGCCTTCAAAAGGGGTTTAATTTAACAAGGCCCTGAAAGTCATTTAATTAGTTTTTTTTTGTAGATGTCGCCAAAGAAATGGTCGAAAAACACATTCGGTTGGGCCAGGGCCGAAGTGTTAGGAGCCTTAGTGAATGCGGTGTTTCTAGTCGCTTTATGCTTCTCCATAACGGTAGAAGCATGCAAGAGGTTTATCGAAGTAGAAACCATACACGATCCACAACTATTGGTTGTAGTGGGTGGTATTGGTTTGCTAGTTAATCTTGTTGGACTTTTGCTGTTTCATGGTAAAAATCAATTGGTTTTCTAATTGCATATTTTGGCAATTTAATGTTTTTGTGTGTAGAACATGGCGGAGGTCATGGTCATTCTCATGGAGGTTTATCGCACTCGCGAAACCGCCTCACTCAGCTAGCACTCACAGATGACAATGAGAATGATGAAAGTTATCCGTCACCACCACCCTTACCATCACCTAAAGTAAAAGGAGGTCATGGGCACTCTCATGGTGGCGACAACATGAACATGCGAGGAGTTTTTCTACATGTTTTAAGTGATGCGTTGGGATCAGTGATCGTCATTGTATCCGCTTTGGTAAGCAATAGCAAACCTCCCACAAAGTTTCACTCACTTCAATTATTTTTATCTAGATATTCTGGCTCACTGACTGGAAGTACAAGTACTACATCGACCCTGCTCTATCACTATTGTTAGTGCTTTTGATCTTGCATTCAGTCTGGCCTTTGCTTAGAGATTCCGCGTTGATTCTGTTGCAAACAGTGCCCACACACATTCAAGTCGACGCAATTCAGCAGAGATTGCTTGAAAATGTTGATGGCGTACTTGCGGTTCATGAATTTCACGTCTGGCAATTGGCTGGTGATCGAATTATTGCATCTGCACATATCAGGTAAAAACTCAATTATTTTCGAATTACATTGGAAGTAAAGGATGTTTTCCAGGTGCCGAAATTTGTCGGAATACATGAAAATAGCAGAAAAGGTCAAAGAGTTCTTCCACAACGAGGGCATTCATTCCACAACAATTCAGCCAGAATTTATCGATTACACGGATATTCCTACCACATCAACGTAAGTGTTTCTAACAAAATGCGCTTTTAAATGAAGCTAACCGGGCTTCTAAAATGTCTTGTTCTCAGAGTTGGAGACCCTGACTCTGCAACGGAAGACTGCGTGTTAGATTGTCCCAAGTCATCGAGAGAATCAGACAATTGTGTGAGAAACACATGCTGTGGGCCTTCAAAGGTTAGTAAGTGAAGCAGTCAGAGAGTTGATATTTTATTTCCGTTTATCAGGAAAAACTAAACATTTGGTAGCTTGATGGGCAAATCGCCTTAGAATGCTGGTTTCTTCTATCTGTCTTAAAAGAGCATTCCAGTTACATCCACGGTTACAAAAATAGTAAGCATGAAGTGTTGCTTGAAAACACCTGAACTGTCCAGTCTGAATAGATTTGTTGCACTTTGTTAAAGTCTAACGTACACGTCCTTAGTTGAACTAGCTCGACTCAATCTTATGCTGTTCATAACATCTAAGTGTTCCTGCTTTAATATTGCGTCCAGGTAGATTTGATCGTTTAACCAAGCTAAATAGTCCCGATTCAATAAAACTGGAATCCGAAAAAGTATTTTCCACCCTGCCCTCAAATGTGCCCGACTATCCTCATTCATGCCATTACTCCTCAACCTCCTTTCAGGACAGTAGTTGCAGTTTAATTGAAACCTCAACAGACATTAAGAACCTCTTTAGGAAACTAAGGCTTGATAAGCCTGAGGAAAGGTAGTCCACTTTTCATTTTGCCCACTTGGTTGCCCGTTGATGGCCAGGTTTACATAATAGTATTTTAGGGGCGAGAGACTCCCACTCCCAATAACACTCCCTACATGTGCCGACAGCGAAACTCCGCTATCAGCGTCACTACAGGAGTGAGCGAAATGGAAAAAGGAAACTTGCTGGAGAAAAACCAGGAGACGCAAATTTTACAAGGTGACTGTGATTGTAATGGTTTAAGAGGTTCGCAGTATTCACTTAGAGGATAATGGTGAGATCATTTTCTAACTTCATTTGCATTTATGAATGCTGTTTATTTTTGTGTTTAGTTCTCAGATTGAACTGCGACTGTGGAGTAACCAAATAGGCCAGGAGAGTTATAGATTGGCATGGATCTAACGTGACGTAACTTGGATAACTATTGGAATCGCTCGGGAATGGTATACCTATTGAAAATATCGATGTGTGCTTTTTGCTTAACCAACGAAAAAGTGAAAAAATGCGAACATCCCGTTTTTTTGCCGCAAACAATCGCATATAACTCGGTAAGTATGCATTTTAGAGAAAAAAATGTATGCTTGTAAATTGGTTCGTTATGAAATTTTCTACAAGATCGAGGAGTTGGTCCGATATCCGTAGATTTGAAACGTTTCCTGCAAAATGCTCGAAAGCGCAAGAAAGTAGGCAAAAAACAAATGCATACGTTTCCGGGAAAACCGATTTTCGCATTTTTTCCTCATTTTTGCAAATAGCTTACCTGAATATTTTCAATTGGTATACCATTCCCGAGCGATTCAAAGTTATCTAAGTTACGTCACGTTAGAGCCATATTTGAGATTTCGTCGTAATTCTCCTGGCCTAAAAGCAAGTGATTTAGAGTTCAGGGATCCAAAATAGTCCAGTCAATATAGTCTTTAGGTAATGCTCGTAAATGTGATCTCGGCCGTTTAACTCGGAGTACTTAAATGGAAGGAATCTTTGAGACAAATAATTCGGTAATTTTGGTCACTTGAGGAACTCCGCGTTTCAGTTCATTCAAGCGGCGTTCATGTGTTCATATTAATTTAACGTGAGGTTTATTATTCATCCCAAAGGTTTCTTTTGTAAGTGTGCGTTATGGAAATCCAATTTTCCGGGACATTCAAGGGTAAAGACGAGACTTAAAGTTGCTTAACGTCGTTCAGTATCTTGTAAGTTAAAATTATCTAGGTATTTAATTAAATTGTACTTTATAGTTTTAAACGAGATTGTTGCATGAACATTCATGCTTCAACATCTGTTACTATTAAAAAGTAGGCCAGTTTCATCCAATGGAATAATTGCACACTAACACCCAATCACATCACGGTCACAATATTTGCATTTGCAGTAGAATTAGAGTCGGTACTTTATTAAGGGTTATAACTGTTGATATTTTGCTAATATTCTTTTCAAAACTAAGAGTATTTCAGTAGGTGCAATGTTACTGTTTCTGCAGTTAAATCAGAATAACTATTTTGTTTTCAACTAATTTACTAGCACTGTTACTTTGTATGTGCATGTAAATGCAATATTGTCGCATCAATCGTGACAGTTTTTCCTACATCGGAAACTAGTATTGTACAATTTTTGTGTTCCATACAGAGTCGTTTTTATTCATGAAAATCCTGGATTATCTTGCAATACATTAGTTTAAGGTCTCTTGCTCCAGTCTATGGCAGTCAATATTCGTTTAATGCAACATTATACTTAATTATTCTAAAGGTCTGAAAATTAATGTTAGAATAAGTTGCTAAAAGTTAGATCGATGAGAGGCCTAAAATCAGAATTATTATTGAACTTTGTTTTAACAACGGATTTTCCAGAGAAACGTAGTCTGATTGTTTGTATTTGCCATGTATAAAACAGATTCTGCATAACGCAGAAATCAAAGTAAATATTTTTCTGCAAAAAACCACTTCTGTCACGTCCTGTATGTGGAATTTCTGTTATTTCCAAAGTGTTGCTGTGCATCAGCACAACGCACATAAATCGCACCGTATCTACGCACCAGTAATATCATTGATTCGTTTGTGTGAAGAGTGTGGAACTTGCTTGAGAACCATGTACATATTTCATATAAGTTAAATATTTTGTATATGTTTTCATATAGCGTCAGTATAATTTATATGAATAATTGGTTTAAATGTTAATAAAACTGAGGCTATTAAATGACTTCATTGTATTTCAATGTAAATGTTCAAGTATGAGGAGCTTTGCGGTAAGTATAGGAAACTCATGCGAAATGGTGAGAGAATTTCAGCAATAAAAATGTTTATGTAAATGTAAAAAGTTTTATTCAGTACTACTAATCTGGTTGTTGTACAGCATATTTTATGCATTGCAACACTCGCTATTGGATAATTAATCGTTATCTGAAATTGAAGTCGTCTTTATTCCCACTTGTACAGTTGGGGGTGAGGTAAACATTAATTGTTCAATATTCAACTGAAACTTCACAAGAACCTGTCGTTTTTAATTTAGATGTAGTTGGGTTTCAACGTTTGAATGCGAAATCAGGCGCATCAAAACAAGCCTGATTTGTACTATACAAAGCCTTAAAGTGGTTTGATATCCCACTAGTAAAGTTGCTAGCCTACCCACTAAATTTAAAAGAATTCCTACAGTTAAATGGTATTTTGGGCCTAAGTATGATGTATTTTTAGACCTGCTTGCTCTACTCGCTATCTAAGATAGAGGTTATCGAATGTTATTCATCCTGGAGTACTTTTGTGCACCTGCAACACGTGCTGCTTCAACGCCGCTTCATCAGCAGGTTGGAACGAGCAGAGAAAACACTTCATCAATTTGCTGTCTCCTTCATTGTGGGTGTTATGCATGTGAGTCATGAAGTTCTCTTTATGAATTGTCTCGAAATTACAAAGGTTGCACTTATGCGCAACGATTTGAGTGATTTTCTTATGCGTTAACGCATGCCGCTCATGGTTGCTCTTCAGCCTTGTTTGGTAGGGACATAGACGACATTTGAACATTTTCAAGACTTGTCCATTTATGCTGAACGTGTTTCTTGATTCCTTTCTTTTGCTCATATTGAAGCTTGTCCCTGTGTTGCACGTTGTTTTTTTCTCTACGTTTGATGTGTTCGGATTTGCCTCATGGTTATCGATATGCTTTTTCAGAAAATCTGGCCTAACAAATGTCATCCCACAATAATTGCAATGTTGTTCTCTGTCCTTTTTATGTTGCTTTTTGTGGGCAGCATTTTCCCGTTTACTCATCGTTTTAAAGTCGCAATTCGGCTGTCGACATCTAAAGTACGGATCAGGGACCTTTTTCATCTTCTCCTCCTCCTTTTTTTCTTCGTTTGAGTGGTTCATCGTCATGTGAGCCTTGTATCGGCTCGAGAATGTTGTTTTAAAGTCGCAGAACTTACACCGTTTCGAACGCCTAAAACAGTCAATATTATAAAATCCTAAAAATGCTTTACAATTTAATTATTCACGTTGGCAATTCGTCCTCGCTAACTTCATCATCCTCAGTTCTGAAATAATACCGTGGTTTTGGTTTGGATATTGGACTTTCATCTAATGCTGATTGAGTACAAGTTACTCTTCTTACGTCTAACAGATCGCTTTCTTTCGTTACGGAGTCATCACTATCGCCCTCGTCACACTTAGTTTGGCGTTTTTGTTTCATAACTCTCTGTCGTGCAGTTTCATTTGGTTGACGCCGATCCTCTGAATCTGAACAAGGTTCCACTTTACTTTTTATTTCAGGATAAAACACACATTCCTCTAAGTCCATCGTGGTTACGCCAAGTCCATCTTCTTCTTTTATACCCATGCTTTTAATACGGGTTTCTTCCAGTTTGATTTCCATGGTTCTTCAACACAAACGAAACGTTCAAATAAGTGAGAAATCACTACGACATTGCTTAATACCTATCTGAATTTGAATCCATTTCTTCATATGGTTTTTCCAGTTCATCGCTTTCCTCCATAGTGATAGAAAACACATGCACAGCTCGCAACTCTACCCCTTTAAAAATCTTTTTACTTTCTGAATAACAGCTGATTTTTGCTTCAGTATCAAGGCATTGCATTATAAATTGAAACTGTTCCTCTAGTTGTTCCAGGCAGAGGGAACAGATACTCGGATCTTTAGTTAATTCCAGTCGCTATTGAAAGACGTGTGTCAATATTACAGTAATTCAGATTGGTCAATATTTCGAATAATGATGATTAGAGATCGATTATTTTTGACATGGAAGAATGCCGTTCGAAAAGTTTTACTTTATCTACTACAATGTTGCTATTTAAAAAAAATGCAAAATTCTTAATATAAATGTGGTCTGAACAAATATTAAACTGTAGACATGAGTAACAGTCTCGCTTTCAGGGCTTGCACTTACCATTTCAGGTAGGCATTTTTCAAACATGTTTTGCAACGGATCACCTTCATAAGAAGCAATTTTCGTATTTAACGATTCCTCGCTGACTCCTAAACAGGTGCGACATACTGAAGTAGCATCCGGTATCGGCTCAATGCTATTAGTCGCGTGTACCATCTGAAAAGTGCGCCACCATCTAGATTCTGAGCTGTTTGATCAAGAGTTTTACTTACTTGTTTCAAATTTACGCAGGACGGGTTTGAGCTCATAAAATCATGTATTTTATCTTCTACTTCTAAACATGATGATTTAAAGTTGTAGGCTTGTTTTAACGTTTCAAGACAGTTTGTGCATAATGAAGGGGATTCGCATATTACCAGATTCTGCCGATAGAAGTAAGCCTAGGATTGATAAACAGCACAACGAAAATATTTGGCACGTACCAGTTCAGGGAGAATTATCTCCAGCATATCCTTAAAAATGCCGTCAAGAACTGAAAAGTCGCTTTCATTAATTTCCGCCAAGCACAAGCGACAATTCATCTTTCCGGGATCGGGATCATTTTTTTCAATTTTTGGTATAAACTCCAACATTACATTGTCCTGCCCCGGCTCGTAGGCATTCGCCTTGTCCATTTTTGGACTTTTACCACCTTTCACAAAATGTATGAAGATTTAGTAACACACCCCATTCGTAAATAACAGACAATTTCCCCGACACTATTCAAACTACATTACAGCCCACGTAAGGTGGTAAGAAACGAATTCACACCCTCGCATTTTGAAATATATATTTAGGAAGTAAAAATAAATATATAGAGAATAAACCCCTAGTTTTGTTTAGACTAGTGAAGTTTTGACATTTGATTGGGGTTATTCGCAAGTTATTCCTCTCTTTAACTGAGTAAATGCTAGAGATAACCTCTAATTTCGACTTAATTCTACCTTCACTTTAGATTACTCGAGTGCATTTGACGACTTGTCAGACTGCCAGCTGTTCTGGCAAAGTTTGGATTGTTTATTATTTATTTAAATATATTTATTAGAACAAAACAATCCAGAATAGAATTAGTCAGCAATCATCGACAAATTGTCACTCTTTTGCGAGAGTAAAAATGGAATTAATTCGCACTCCCAAGGTAGGAGGATTTTCTGATTAATTCATTTAATTTTATTGTTAAACAACTGTACATTTTCCTCATTCAGGTTGAAAAAGTGCGTATGTTGGACAGATATTCAAAATCTTCATCCCAGGGTACTTTATATTTGACTGCAACCCACCTAATTTTTGTCAATCCTGATGCAAAAAAGGAAACATGGGTAATTGAGCATTTTGCAATCACTTCCAATTAACCGCGTTAATTCTTTGTCTCGTTCCAGGTGCCCCATATGCATATAGCAACCTTGGAAAAGCAGCCATTAACAACAACCGGCTCTCCGCTTTTGATAAGAACCAAAACGTTCCTATCGGTTACTTTCGTTATACCCAAAGAGAGAGAATGTCATGATATTTTCATAACTCTGCAGCAATTGTCTCAGCCAAGCAATGTTGAAGAACTGTACTGCTTCACCTACAAGTCCGATGAGATTCCAAAGAATGTAGGTTGGAATTTCTTTGATTTACAAGCCGAATATCAGAGGATGGGCGTCCCAAACGATCAATGGGCATTGACTAAACTTAATAAAGACTATGAGGTATGAGAATTTGGTAACACTTCTCAAATTATGGTCAATTTCACCCAATCAACTTAGCACAACTACATACATATATGTATGTATAGTTTAAATGCAATTCATTCTAGTTCTCCCAAATACCGCAAAAGTATTAAGCTATCCTTTAAGATATATTCCCTCTTTACTTAAATTATGCCTTCTAACTTTGTAAATGATGGGAATTTCTGTCAAGTCTAGTTAACGAAAGTCCTCTATATAGCTCTACAGGAAACATTTCGAATACATGACCATTTTAAACTGCAGGCACCGGAGCATAGGGAGGTCCTACTCCAATTTGTCGATTGCTATTTTTGTGGCCTCAGACCCACATTGCGATACCGAACACTGATCACATACAGTCATCTCAAATAAATATCCTTTCACCAATCTCATCATTACATATCCTGTAATTTTCTCTAGCTATGTGATACATATCCAAAGTATCTTTATGTTCCCGCATCGGCCACCAAGACTACGTTGAGAGGTAGTTCAGGCTTTCGGTCCAAAGGCAGATTGCCAGTATTATCTTATCTGTACCATAACAAGGCGAGTATTAGCAGATGCAGCCAACCGTTGTCCGGATTTAGTGCTCGTTGCGTTGAAGATGAAAAAATGTTGAATCATGTACTGCGAACAAACCCGAATGCAACTTTTATGTATGTAGTTGACACCAGGCCTAAGGTAAGTAAGCATAAACTGATGAAGCAAACTGAATAGATGATAAATGTAGAAGCAAACTGAAAATTCTGCACCTTAGATCAACGCAATGGCCAATCGAGCGGCAGGAAAGGGCTACGAGAACGAAGCTTTTTATGAAAATATCAAGTTTCATTTTCTGGGAGTTGAAAACATTCATGTAATGAGAAATAGCCTGCTGAAGGTGGTGGAAAGTAAGTACTACCACTGTGACTTAGCGATTAGATAATGCATGAATGTTCGTTTTCGTTGCTTCAGCTTGTGAACAGAAGAATCCAACCATGAACAGTTTTCTTAGTGGACTTGAGTCTAGCGGCTGGGTGAGACACATCAAGTCCATACTTGACACGTCGCTCTTTATAGCAGAAGCTTTGGAGGAAGGAATCAGTGTTGTGGTACATTGCTCAGACGGCTGGGATAGAACTGCACAAGTTTGCTCGATTGCAACATTACTTCTGGACCCCTACTATAGAACTATATCAGGCTATCAGGTAAATTCAAATAGAAACCAATCAAGAACATCCCAAGAACCCAACTATTCTAACAGGCGCTGATTGAAAAGGATTGGCTTGCTTTCGGCCATAAGTTCTCAGACAGATGTGGCCACATTCAAACGGAAAGTAAGGAAATTTCTCCCATTTTTACGCAACTTCTGGACGCCACATGGCAGCTGATGCAGCAGTTTCCTTGCACATTCCAGTTCAATGATAATTTCTTGTTGACTATTCACGACCACGTTCATTCCTGCCAATCTGGCACTTTTGTCGGGAATTGTGAGAAAGACAGGGTTGACTTAAGGTATGAAAATTAAAGGCAATAATTGAAAGTGAATTCTAACACAAACTCAGGAGATATTGAATAGGTTTCTTATTTAGAGTGTGGGAGCGAAGTTATTCCTTATGGGGCTTGATGGCGAACCACTTGGATGAATACCTAAACCCTTTATATGATGCTAATGAAACTCCTGGCGCACTAAGCCCGCAACTGATACCACAGAACATCAGGTAAAGTAGTCTGAAAGAATCCGATATGCTTTATTAGCTTAACTGGATCTGCAGATTCTGGAGGGGAATGTACTACAGATTTGAAAGCGGCGTTCATCCAAGAGAATCAACAGGCGATCTACTTGTCACTACTGCCGATCATTCTTTTTCACTCGACGACCATGTAAAGTATCTGGCAAAGGCAAGGAAAATTTCATAGAACGTTCTGTAAATGTGATGTTTTATGAATGGTAATTGCAGAGAATAACATCCGTGAAAAACCTGATATCCAAAACGATGGAGAAGAAAAAAACAAAGCCGACTAAAATGCAACTTTGCAACAACGTGCACCTGGATAATAAACTGATGTATGAAAAGGCAACATCTGAATTAGAAAATGCTGAGCATGATCATCCGCTCAAAAGTACGATTTTCAACTGTTCACTATCATTTTTTACAATGGTTTGTTCGTTAGGTGAAATATTAAATGGTATTGATAGTCAAGATATTCCCAAAATTGATGAACTCTCAAAAGACTTTGATTCGGTGGCAATTGACTGGAAGGCAATGAGAAGTTCCAATGAATGCAACTGCACTTCAGCGTTCGATCATCTGAGCAAAAAGGTATTATAGCTTTTTTAACGGTTAATTTCATCAAACTTAGTTAATCATTTTTAGAATTTCTGTAGAAAATGCGGCGACATGTTTTGTATGAGATGCTTAACCAAGCAAATGGTACTGCCTGGACATTTGTCGCAAAAGCCGGTACCAGTTTGCAAACCTTGTTTTGATCATTTAAGTAGTTTGGATGCTTAAATGTTGCACAACGTGAGATTTAGCAAATGTTTTTGCTCTTATTAAACTAGGAGATTTCCACAAATATATCCAGTAAGTTAGAGCCATTTGCACATAACATAAAACCGCTAGTCTCGCTTGGCCGTCATCTGAATTTCTGGCTACTTTTAGTCATAAAATCCCGATACTCCAAGTAGAAACTGAATAATTACTAGTCATTTTTATTTATTTCTATATTGAATTCGTCCGCATTTTGGTCAGAAAGGCGCTTTATAAGTTGAAAAATGGATTATGTGAAAATCATAAGCCGTTTAAAAAACGGCGCACAAGATACAATTCCGAGTGGCTCAACAGATTCCAATTTGGGCGGAAGTTTTATTATACAGTATATTTTACCTTTTATGCAAAGTTGTGCTCTCTTCTTCTGTCATTTTCTATTAAAAAGAAACTACCTATGCATTTAATCCGCTTAATCAAACTTGAATCATGAAAAACCTATCGGTTGTTATGATCTGATTTTAGAACTACCCAGTGTTTTCCTCGAATCGACTAAATACAGTATGTCTATATAAACTTCTTCTACAACGACTTTTAGACCATACAGAACTTAAAAGTTAATTTTAAAATTAATTACAAAAAACTTGTTTATATATTTTGTTAATTCCGGGAAATTTGCGTGCGCTTCTGAATGAGTTATTAATTACCGACTAGTAACCTTTTCAAAATGGTCCCATTTCCACTAAATTAATGTAAATGTGCGCTCTTTTGAGATAAGTGGGTAGGTTAGAATAAGCCAAATTGGTGCAAATCAACTAATGAAATTAGTTAAAATTATTCGTTTGAGATTTTATGTTACTTTATCTTTAAACAACTGATGTTATTATGTTAATATTTTTATTATGTTGGTGAACTGATGTATAAATAATACATAAGTCAAGAGCGGGCATCCATATACTGACAATCGGTTTTTCTGGGGATTTTGTATTATAATCACAGAGAAATGTTTGAGGCAAAATGATCAAAACAATCGGATTATATCAACAGTATTATTTATTTATTAGTACAGATTTGTAGATATAGATCTTAAAATTCAGAAACTGTTGTTTTGGAAAATCAGAAATATATCCAGGGTTTATTTGTTACTATGTAAGAATATGAAAAATTGCACTAAAAACTATAAAACATATATATGAATGTACTTTTTAGTGACTTGTTAAATATAAGTGGGCTTCTTCATGTTGCAAAAAAATCGAGCAAACTTGTTTCTTTAATAATCATTAAGTGATTGAGACAAATTTTGAAAGCTTTAAAAAGGTGTTTCCTGTATACTTCAATATACATATATAATATATTCAATATAGCTGGGTTACCGAAAACCAATTTAACTAATTCAAGGATTTATTTGAAATTCAACAAAAAATTAAACCAAATCTAATCAACTAGCTTACTTTTTCTTCAAAGGGCCTCCCATCTCCTCAAGCTCATATTTCAATTTGTTTAATTCACTGTCGGGTATATATCGGTCTTCCTCATGATACTCTTCATGGGGCACCACATTTGCTGTTACACCTACAGGCAACGTAGCCTCAATTACGCGCAACAGGATTGGTACCTAAAATTGATAGAAGTCGCGTTAATACCTTCCATGTGTGAGAATGTGGATGACTTACCTGTACAGTCGAAATATCAGTGATTTGAACCGTTCTATTGTAATAAACCAGTTTGTATTGGGCATCGACTACTTCACTGAGAGGTTTATAAGTGGAAATTTGAAAGTCTTGAGCGGGAATAGCCCAGGCGTCCTCCACATTGACGTCCATGTTTTTTATTATGTTATGTATGTACTTTTGGTAACTTTCTAATACAGGGTAGTCGTAGCCCCTGAGCTGGATGTTCAGTGTGTCGTACAAGGGCACTTTAGGCCTCATTTCCTAAAATCACTTTGGTTAATATGGAGGTATTTAAGAAGGTTCTACAGTTACCTCTAAATAACTGGGCTCGTACAGACTTCCGCTGTAGCAGCGTGAAAATGTTTGTTTTGCCAAATTTGAACAAATGCATCTTTTTAACACATTCATTTTTGAAATTTCTGTCAGGATTTGGCAATTGTAGTAAGCAATGTTGGAGGTTATTGGTAAATCTCTACCACAGAACATACCCCCATAGGGGGGATATTTTGTGATCTCTACTTCAAAAATGCAGCTGATTGGATAATCGTTCTGAAAATCGAAGAAGAAACTCTGAACTAGCCTCTAAAAAGTTATAACAAGCCACTAAAAAACTGTCACATACAGAGCAATTTGTGCAATGTTTTCAATAATATCAAAGTGTAGGCCTTTAACTCAGTTTAGTGATGTGTCCAAGACATTAATTGCGCTCTCCAGCCAGTCTACGGCAGTGCTAAAGGAAAAATCATTGAGGGAAAAGGATGTTTTGAAGAAGCAAATCCTGGAATGCAGGCATGTCTATCCTGAATTCCTGCCTGATCCCAAAGTGGAATTCAGGAACGTTATCCGGGAAAAGCTGGAAAGGTCTGATATGGTAGCTCGGCGAACACAAATAGATATCGGTGAATTCTATGTGGGTAAGTCATTGCACAGGTTTTTAAGGCTTAAGCTACAGCTGCTGAAGAACATGAGGAAGTATGTAATTGATCTCAATAATGTCATGCTTCCTCGTGCTAACTCAGCGTATGTTGAGCGTTTGTCGGTCTAGAACTTTATAAGTATAGTAGTAGTTTTAGGGTATTTAATTAAAGTTGTTTCAATGGATTTTGTTAAATTGTCTGTCCTTAGCCAAGTGAGCTCTGCAATGTTCATGTTAGGGAATGTTTCAGCTACACAGTTATAATTATTAAAACAACATAAAATATATCTGTATACATTAACTATCTGTCAGCTAGACAACCATTTGTTTTATATTTGGCAACGACGAAGCGATTTAAATAAGTCATTAGTTGAGCGGCAAACTTGACATCGGGAATAGTTTCATAACCTCGATATGTTATTGTCGGTTGAATTTTTTTAGTATGTTGATTTAAAAGCCCTCAGTATGAGTAGGGGACCAATAAAAAGCAAATCGGCCCAGGGCTGCATGAAAATATCAAGTTTTTTTGCGAAAAAAGGCGATCCTGTTCCTAAACCAGTGAAACTTTTGACACCCACTGTGATATCAGAAATCATCAACATTGCCTCAGACGAAGAGCAGTACGAAAATATGCCTAATGGCAACCGCAAACCTGAGCGAAATAAGCGAAAATCTGAAGATCACGGGCTGAGCCCCCCTATGAAAAAAATTACTATGCAATCAAATCAAGCGGGTGCTGCTGATGCAGAAAGTCCAGTCCTAGTTCCTTCTACAAGTGGATGTACATCATTGCAAAACCATTCAAAGATCAGTGTAAAATCGCCAGAGAAACTTCTAAGCCCTGCGGCATTTAATGACTATCTAACATCAGGTAGAAACGTAGTTTGCGTGAGTTCAACGGAAAAATGGACGCCTCCTAAAAAAGATCAAATAAAAGCAAATATTACAAAAAGTTCTTCCAAGAAGTCGGAGACTACACCTAGCAAGAAACGAAGAACGCCCAAAAAATTGTTTGAAGTGTCGCCGATTAATATAAACCAATTCAAAGTGGAAGTTTTGGAAAATTTCATTAAATTCTCCCCAGCTAAACGAGAAGCTGAAGATGCTGACCAAATAACGCGAAGAAAATCCCTACAAATCCAGAAACAAAATGAAAAAACCCCGGTAAAAACTTCTGAGCCCCCGTGTAAACATGGCACCAGTAAGTCCTCGCCTGCAGCAAGAGTTAGAACTAAGCTGAACTTTGATAATATCAGGCCGCCTGGTAAGGTGACTGTTTCTCCAAAAATACAAAAAGCTGTACATCAAGAAGATAATTCTCCTGAAGATTTGACTTTAGTTTTCGATGACATCAACTGGAATCTTGATGCAGACCTTCTGGAATCTGGCGATTACACTTTGGACCTCACCGATCCTCAGCATTGTAAAGTGGTTAACGTGAATCAATATGCAACTGAGATGGTTGTCGTTGTTAAATCAACACAGAGAAATGAACAAGCTTTGTGCTATTTACGAGACTTTTGGATGTACTCGAAACTATGTATTGCCGACACAGTTCGCATCACTGCCGTTAAAAATCATGATATATGGCTGGTAGATAATCAAAATGGATTTTTAGTTTTCGAGCCAGATCTCTTAGTGTCCACCACAACAATAGTAAACTCAGTGTTTTGCAAAAGGCAAACGGTTTTTAAGGAGAAGTTTCGAGGCTTCGATCCCACTAATAAATTCATGATTGTAGGCTCAATGGTACATGCTTTGCTACAGGATGTTTTGCGAAACAAATGGTTTGAACTCATAGATATTGAAAGATGTGCTTTGGAGATGTTGCAGAAAGCCGAGTTTACCAGACAGCTATATGGCTGTGGGGAAACTACTGCCAATATTGCCGAAGAATTCCTCAACTACGTGCCACAAGTTGGCGAATTTGTAAAAACATACGTGCAGAGTGGCCAAAGTAAAGTCCCCAAAAAGGGTGCCTGGAAGGGCAGAATCTCGGAAATCGTGGACATTGAGGAGAACATTTGGTGTCCCGATTTGGGTGTTAAAGGGAAAGTTGATGTAACAATCAGAACCGAAGCCGGTCTCATGCCTCTTGAGGTCAAAACGGGACGAGCAACTGTTTCCCTTGAGCATAGAGGGCAAGTGATGCTGTATATTATGATGATGAGCAAGTTGGGCTATTCAGTCTCATCTGGTCTGTTGCTGTATCTAAAGGAGGGCGCCGTGAAAGAAATTCCCTCATCTGCGATCGAAAAAAGAGACTTAGTAATTCTGCGCAATGATCTGGTTTATTACTTGTCAAGAACCCCTGAAGTGGCCACAACCCCCAATGGAAAATACCTGAAGCCTGCAGAAGTGCCTGAAACAATCAATCACTCAGGCTGCAGCAAATGTGCCTACAGTGGCATTTGCATGGCTTACTCCAAATATGCCAATGAAGATGTTTCTTCAAAAAAATCATTACAACAGGTAAGAATCAATCAAGTACGACGCTGAGGATTTTTTTAAAGTAAAGAATTATTCTGCGTTTTAATAGATTTGTCCCAAAAAAATTTATAAACAGCTACAAAATTTGCCTTTTCAGATTCACAACAATCTCGACAATTATATAACATCTACCCACATCGACTATTTCATGCATTGGAGCTCGTTATTGTCCATTGAAATGCCCGAAAGGAATGGCGCTAAAGATATAAGGGATATTTACACTTTGAAGCCAGAGGAGCGAAAAAGCAAAGGAAAGTGCCTGATTGATTTGGAAATTACTGACGTTACCGAGGAATTCAGTGGTTTATATTTAACAACGTTCGCCCATAATCAACAACAAGCAGACAACTTCCTGCTTAGTGGCTTTCTTGAGAACACTTATGTTGTGGTGAGCACTAAGACCCGTCCCGCTGTAGCCACAGGCCTGATAGCTGATATTTCCATGCACTCCGTATCAGTAAATTTGGATAGAAACCTTCAAAAAAAGTACAGCAAAGCAATATTTTTCCTAGACTATTACGACTCTACGATATTCCTCACATATAACTTAGCAAGTTTATCTTTGATTTTGGACACAACGACTGAAAGGTCGAACCGATTGCGAAGCATAGTTATAGATAAGCAGCCCGCAACATTCCAGCCAAAACTACCAAAATGTTTGGCAGGAAAAGCCAGGCCTATCTTGAAGCGACTGAATAAAGTGCAGCAAAGAGCCGTTTTGAAAGCAATTGCCGCCAAGGACTATTTCCTGATTAAGGGAATGCCTGGAACTGGAAAAACTGCCACAATAGTGGCACTAGTTCAACTTCTCATTGAGCTGAAGAAAACCGTGCTTATTACCAGCCACACTCATTCTGCTGTTGATACCGTTTGCCTCAAGCTCGTAAATTTCGGAGTCAGTTTTATGCGCTTGGGAAACGAAGCAAAGATCAATCCGAGCCTGAAAAAATTCTCTGAGTATAGCTTTATTAAAGACTGCAAGACCCCTGAAGACCTTGCAGCTGTTTACAACAGCGTCCAAGTTCTGGCAGTAACATGCCTAGCATCAGGCCACTCAATCCTTTCTAAAAGAAACTTTGATGTTTGCATAGTAGACGAAAGCACTCAAGTGCTTCAATGTTCAGTTTTCCGGCCGCTACACGCTGCAGACACTTTCATACTGATTGGAGATCCTGATCAACTGCCAGCTGTTGTGAGGAATAAAACTGCGGTTGAACTGGGAATGAGGGAGAGTCTGTTTGAGCGGCTGGACTCTCCGGAGTCGTGCATCTCATTGAACTTGAACTATCGAATGAATGAGCCAATTACCGCATTAGCGAATGCGCTTACATATGGAGGAGAGCTGATGATTGGCGCTGAGAGAATAGCTAAGGCTTCAGTGAATATTCCTAAGTTTAACCAAATTAGCGCTAGCTGCAATAAATGGCTTGTGGAAGCTCTGGATACCAAACTGGAAAATGCTGTTAAATTCATTGATACCGGACCGGTGTGGAACTTGACAAAAAGTGCAACTTGGGCGCAAGATTTCCGCTACGAGGCTTTACAGTCTCAAGAACACCACGGATCTTTTAATATCTTTGAGGCCGCTCTAATATACCGTTTGGTGAAAGCATTGCTCAATGAAGGCGAAGTGCCTGCCGAGCATATCGGAGTTATTGCCACTTACAGAATTCAAGTAGCTTTGCTGACTGAGTTGTTGAAGTCGAGCAAGGTCGAAGTTAACACCGTGGACCAGTTTCAAGGCAAGGACAAAAATATCATCTTGTACTCCTGCTCAAAGTCGAAAGATCTCAGTGAAGAATGGAAAGATAATAACTTTGATCTAACTGAGGATAAAAGACGGCTGAATGTAGCCATTACGAGAGCCAAACATAAGCTGATAATTGTTGGGGATTTGGGGACGTTGCAAAACTACTCGACTTTCAAAAAAATTAAGCCCCAATTGGAAAACAACGTTATAAAGCTTCGAGGCTGTGAAGGGTTCCATTGGGATGCTGTTCTGGATTTTCAAAGTTGAGCTACAGATGAGAACCGAACTTTATTCTCGGAGAATTGTCCCAACGTGTATTTTTGATATAAGCGTTTATTTATACCTTTACTGTAAGTGATGTTAAGTTAATTTATGCTCAACTGTGAGCTATGTACTTTTTCATAGTTTTATATAACCTTTGAGATTTAATTTAAAATTAACCTTTAAGGAAATGTTTCATCGGCTACAAATTCCAGGAAAGCAAAAGTGTTGTTTTCTCAAATTTATACGCTCAGAAACAATTCGTTTTTATTTACTCAATATCTATAATAAATTCTTATTTTCCGTAAAATATTGTGTTTTTTTCCCGATTTCTAGGCCAGATGTTTTAGTCAATTTTTTCATGCGCTTTTTTATTTATTTGTATGATCGCTATTTCTGGTACAAAGGTCCATTGAAGCAATTTGTGTTATTTGTGATGTATTTCTCAAGTGTGTGCGTTATTATCAATCAAGTCGTTTTGTACTTCATAATTTTATTTAACAAAATGTTTTTGGCTTTTTTTTAATCTGACGAAATTTTGTCGTTTTAGTGTATTCCTATTTGGTCTTTTGGTAAAATTTTCTACTCAATTTTTCTTCAGGCTCGGTTTTAGCGGTAACTTCTTCAGATCGTCATGCACCGGGCAAAACGCACCGATTTGTGGGGATTTGCATCCAACGTGAAGGATGTGGACTGCGTGCTTCTTTTATTCTAAGGAACGTCGTAGATCATCAGGTAATTTCTTAAAAAATCACTATAAAGCCGGTTTTCTGCTGTACTCAAAATAGTAATATCTAGAAATTTTTTTGTTAATTTCAGGGCGTTGAGATTCTCTATCACATGTACGATCCCACAATACACAAAGTAGAAGTGCTCAGATTGGAGAAGAGGTTGGACGACAAACTGCTATATCTGAGAGATGCGTTGCCTGAATATAGCACGTTTGATTTGAATATGGATGTTGAGATTCTGCCTGAAGGTAAGGCAACTTTGAAGCAAAGCTGGACGTTTTTAATGCTAAATTTGTTTAAATTCCAGGCGCTCCGATTCCGGTTAATCCCATCAAAGTGAAACTAAAGCCCAGGCCCTGGTTAGAGCGCTGGGAAAGGCAAAATCTGATGGGCGTCCAAGACCTGGAATTGCCCGAACGATTCTATATACGAGCGAAGGAACGCGAAACACCCTGGGAGAAATACGACTTGATGAAAGAATACATGTAATGCTCCCTAGCACAGCCGCGGAGCCATTAAGAATAACTTATTTCTTCTTTAGGCGAACCATTCCCGAGGAAGAGCAGCTGGAAATATTCAGTGGGGTGCAAAACGAGCTACACAAGTTGGAATCTCAAAGGAAGAAGATGAAGAGGAAACGTATCTTTATCAAGCCCAGTAAATTAGCGTGAGATGTAACCGATAAATATAAGTATTGAGTTAATTATTCTGTTTACCCAACTTACCAAATATCAGTAGAAAATGCAAGAGAAACTTCCATTAATTAATGGCAAACCGAGTTCCCTGCTTCTGTTTTTCCATATCGATGTTGTAGTTAAATATTTCAGTTTTGTATTGCTAAATAACTATTTACCTTTAGAGCCCTGTTACACGGGGATATCCCACCAGACTGGTATCTCGGATACACACGTTTAAAATAGAGCCTTATTGCGACTGAATCTCGATATCACGTGAGTCCCAGTCGGCCGGCGATTTTAAAACTTCCGGGTCCGATTTTCTATGGGTCTATATGGACTTGCCACTCATGAGAACCGGGATTTTTTACTATTTTACTGTCTTGCTACAAGTCTGCGGCAATGTAAATGGTATTCGAGATATCTGTCTGCGGGCGTCAGAATCCCAGTGTAAAAGAACTTATAGTTCACACTTTCAAATAAGTAATACAGGAACAGCTCAATTTTTAATCAGGGCATTTAATAATTTAAATTTCAAGAAAAAAATAACATAAGGAAAAATAGAACTAATTATCAAGGCAGCTAATATATAAACACGTATGTACAAATTTTCACGTTTGCCGGGCTATACAATAGAACTTTACAAGACTTGAGGTCCGATACAAAAATACTTATCTACATGAAATTCGATCAACTACATCTATTGAATCCTGAAGATGAAGGAGTAGAGGGTGGGGATTTGTGGTTATTCAGGGAACTGGTAAACTGTTTTTGGAATTCGTCCTGAAATCCGATGGCGCCACTGAAATTCGTCCTTTCATTATTCGTCACGCCACTGTTAGGACCGAAATTCGAATTTGAGTAAGTCTTGTTGAACGCTATTACTGAGACGGCCGGATTAGACATTTCCGTTTTCGAGGGAGATGACAGTTTTTGTAAGGCTTTTAAACTCTCCACCACCTTCTGTATATCCTCTCTTTCCTTTTCCAGGTGCGACCGAGAACTGGTTGGAGTCACAGTAAGTGCAGGGAATTTTGATTTCAGTGATGCGCCAATATTTGAGTCTTGCGATTTTTCCTGATCTGCTACTGGCAAGCGATTTACTGGAGTGTCGGTGAGATCAATTATTTGGCAGTGCATGTCTTTGGGTATCACAGGCTCCTCTTTGTGTTTAGACATTTTTATCACACCATTGTCCTTAATATCCGGCTTGTCTTTGTAAACAGCCATAATAATTTTTTCGACTATTGGTTCGGGTGGCTTCTTAATTGAAGGCACAATGTTGTTCGCAGGCTTCTCAGTTACTGAACTCACAACTTCAACGTCGGGTTTAAACTTTGAACCCAAACCAACATCGTTCAATTTATCCGTCAGGTTTACTGGCGTGATGGTGATATTATTTCCCGAACTATAATTAATTAGAGGTGCCGGCATCTTCTGGGAATGTTTATTTATATTCGCATTGCTTAAACTCTTTGGATCTGGTGTCTTGATTGCCATGGCGGTGCAGAATTTCTTCAAAACTGCCATCGACATCCATCCTTCGGGCCACAATGTTAAGATGTTCACTCGCAAGTAATCGGTTAAAAGCACTTCGATGTCGTTCTTCGACTTGCCTTCGTGCAGTAGGCAACGTTTTTTTAAATTTGCAATATCTCGCAATATTCGCCTGGAAAAAATAATTTGGTTAAGTTGAAAAGGATTTTTTTCAATATTTGGGTGAAAAAAGCTGAACCTATGAGGTTTTACCTGCAAAATAAAATTTAATAGCACTTACTTCATTTCTTCATGCAGAGGAAATTTCCGTCTGGGAGTTTTCAAATTTTTTATTTCATCATTAGTGGCTGCTTCTAGGGAGAACCTGCAAATGAAAGTTTAGTGGTCAACTGCATTGAACTTCCCGTACAAACCACAATAAACTAGTACGTACTTTCTTTGTAAAATTCGCTGGCATTCTTTTTCGTGGTTTGTGACTAACGCCGGCATCAGTTGAATGATCTGACCCTTCAGCTTATCGATCGCCTTCTTGAGCTTCGAATTTTCATCTTCGTAAACGAGATTTTTGGCACGTTTAATTAAGGTTTCCTTTCGGCACTTTACGAACGGTGCCAGATGTTCATATACCCTCACTCTGGAGGATCGGCCGAGTACTTTACACATCCGCTCCAATCTGAGGACGAAACAACAATTGAAGAACATTTCAATTGCGTAAAAAACACTGAAATTACTTGAGAAGTGTTGTGTTCACATCACCGCTGAAGAATTTCACTTTCCCCCCGTCCTTGTATTCTTTAGCTGACCGCTTCAGGCTTTCGATAACTTGGAGAATTTCCGGCGGTAGATTTTCGGGGAGTTTTACTATTTCCAATCCACTAGTGGACATGTCGGTTCCGATTGAAGTAAGCTCATGCACTGTAAAATATGTAATCAAACCTCTTGGAGATGGTTTAAAAATATTAATTCAAACACTCACTGTTATTGGGAGGCCCAATTGATTGATCCGCGCTTCCAGCGATATTTTCAGCTGCTTTCTGACCATCAGCTTGACCTAGCACTGAGTCTATAGCGGCAATAACGCTGCTTAGTCTCATGGGCTTTTTGTTTTCTTTTAGAGAATCTTTTCCGGCATCTGAAACTGTTAGGAACAGTTGAGTATGAGTTGTTTATATCAATTTTTTTGTACTTTAATTGTAAATCCGCTCCATCGTGTAAAATAAACTGACCTGTGCCATTTGGTTCGCTTTTTTTGTCTCTCAGAAGTTCTTTAGCTGCATTTTTCTGTTCGTCCAGCTTCCGCTTCTTAATCTGAATTTTCTCCCTACTGAATAGTTTCTTCTGGATTGCCTGTTGCATGCTAATATTTGGTTTCTCGCCTTCCTGCTTCTGCAATTGAAAACAGTAAGTGCTTGCTAGTTTGAGCCTAATACGGTGTTTTTACCTTTGCTCCTTGAGTGCTGTGATTGCTATTCCCATCTTCTTCTTCTTCTTCGGACGTTTCAAGCACCCGCTGAAGAGAAACCTACTTTAAAACCAGTAGTAACGGATGTGATTTAAAGTACCTTTCTGTTGAGTTTGAGAGTACTGTCCTCCTCCTCACTTTCGCTTTCTTCCTCCTCTGAACTGCTGGAGGACACTTCCGAGGTGGCTTCATCATCCGTTTTGAATTCCAAGGCGCCGCTATTAATATAGAATCCGCCTCGTACTGTGGTAACATTATGGGGTATGATCTCGTCATACCCATCGGTGTTATCAATGAAAGAGTCGGACTCATCGTAGCCCGCCCCTATGTCCGCGTAATCGTCCTTACGTCCTTTGCGCCTCTTTTTAGACCCTCCACTCACTCCGGTGCCCTAAAAAGGAAATTATTTTCATTATACTTGATATTTTTTCCTCGAAAAGTTCCACTCACATATTTTGCTTCCAGTTCGAGTGCGATCCGTTGGACGTCTTCATCGTTCTCGTCTCCGAATGGATCCACGCCATTCGGTACAATAGGAACTGGTTCTTTACCATTCTGCTTGATTTTTTTCTAGAATCAAAAATCTCTGTGATGGAACAGCGTTAAGTACTTAATTAGTTAAAAAGCCTCAATCTAAGAAACTACTATTTGACTTTTGGATACTAATTATGTGGCCAAATGCACCTCTTCAGTTGAGCAATTTACATAAATAAGTAAAATATCTTAATGTTTGTGAATACTTTTACTCATCAAGTGAGCAAACCTTGGATTTTTCAATGGAAATTAACTGGGCGTAGACATTGCGGCATTCAATTCACGACGTCTCCTAATACATTCAAATGTTTCCCATCAGCAGCATTTTTAGCGGGCCCGGATCAGCACGTGCTGGTGTTGATGTCTCTGTTTCGCCTAAGTACGACGCGCTTGTTCCATCCTTTTTTAGGACACGCCTCGGATTTCATTCATTACACAACGATGTCGGATCGTTGCAAGCGGAAAGCGGAACTTTCAACGGAAAATAGCGTTGTTTTCATTTAAATTTAAATTGTAACGTTTCCAACAACCTGGTAGATAATGGTAGGTAAGTATTGTCATAAGCGATTATCGATGTTTTTTTATTAGTCACTGGCTCCAGATTTTAAAAAATAATTGTAATGTTTCAATACCTATTCAAATCAGAAATCAAATGTAGGTGATTCCATACTTAAATAATTATGCCTGATTAGAGCATATTTCCGGTAACTATTGTTAAAATTGGATGAACAAAGGCCTTTCTTAAATGACGATGTTTAGCAACATTTCCAAATGATTTTGAAGCTTTCGCGGTCAGTTTTCAGTCAAGCTTCCAGACGTTTTGTAAGCACGAGTGGTTTACATCATCAGAGGTGATTGCTGCGTCGAGCAAACCACTGATTTTTTTTCCATCTTCCGGTTTGGTAAAATATTGTGAAAATATGGTCAGCAGACTAGTGGTTTTAAGCGCTCTTAAGCACAAATAGAGAGTTTGTCATGTAAATCGCAAAATATAAAGCCCCAAGAGCCTAGGAGTGAATCAATATGGCAATATTATGGTGAAATTATCATTTCCATATGAGCGTGGTTCACTTTGTAGCAACAGTCGACAAGAAAACCATTTTAAATTCATCATTTTATCGCATCAAGATTTCAAATGAACCGCGTTTCGAACTAAAAAAATGTTTACAATACTGTGAGGGATATTTTAACAAACTGATTTTCTTGCTATAGAAAATTGCCTAAACAGCCGTGCCCAAATTGGAGCTTCGCATTTTCTTAATGTGCATCTGTCTATAAAGAAATTCGAAAAAAAATTGAAAAGTGAAAGCGGCATAGAAACGCGTCTTAAATCGTCGCCTAAAAGTCCTCAACAACTTTCATGTAAAGGAAGTGCACAACAAACGAGGAAAGCATTAGGAACAACGCAAGAAAAAACGAGATTTTTAGAACGATCAACTTTCTTCAAAAAACCGTCAACAACCTTAGTTTGTAAGAATCAGCGTTTACAAACTCTGAATTTCTTCAAACAAGTAAAACACTTTGGGAAAAAATATTCAGCTCAATCAGCAGGTTTTATTTTTTTAGAAATTTATGAAAATTGAAAATGTCTAAACAAAAAACTATTTTTAACCGATTTCCATTTGATTTTCCTAAAATGTATAGTTACAAACTGCGATAGTCTTTTGAAAGTGTTGCAAGCCTAAAGTTGAAAGTTCCTAAAGTGGTTGCAATTAGACCAACTCTGAAAACACAGAAAACAACGAGCGAGAAAAAACCGTTAAAGTTTGCAAGTGTTCAATTCAAACATGAAAACAAGTAGACCAAGTATGCAGATTTGGTATTCAAATTTTTACAGCAAATTTAAGAGCTGAGCCATGACTGACCTGGAATGTTGTCTAAATGAAACATTACTTAAAAAAAAGATTTGCTAAACAATTCATTTTTGGAAACCTGAGATTAATGAGCCGTTGCTACTAAAATCGTCTTTAGAAAGCTGTAAAAATGTAAGTACATAATAAACAGTACAGTTGTATAAAATAGCTGTATCCGTTCAATATTTTTGCTGTACAGGGTTATTGATTGCACTTTAGCCACTCCGTTTTTGCAGCTAATTTGAAATTTAGAGCAAAATGTTATATAAAAAAGTTGTAGATATTGACATCTAGTTTATTTTAAGATAATAACAATTGCTACAGAGTGTCTCAAATTCAAGTGCCTGACCAAACTCAATTTTTTATAAATGGAATGCCCGAATATTTAAACTGTTATTAACTCAAAAACAGTTGAAGATCAATAGAGAAAATTTATATCCAAGAGGACTGGAATTTTGCGTATGGTTTGAATATGAAATACAAAGTGCGCGATTTCATTAAAAAAAAATTAAGTTTGTACCGCCACTTGAGTTTGAGATTGTATCAATTGGTATTATCTTACAATAAACTAGACGTTAATATCTAAAACTTTTGTATTTATGATTTTCCTCTAAATTTCAAATCAGATGTTAAAACGGGGGGGCCAAAATTCAATCAATATTGGCTATTAATTCAAAAACAGTTGAGAATCAAGAGAACGTTTATGTCGAATAGACCTAGAATTTTACGAATATCTCGAATATGTAATAAAAAGAACGGCATTCCATTTAAAAAAGGTAAGTTTGGTCTGCCACATGAATTTGAGACACCCTGTATCAATTGTTACTATCTTAAAATAAACTAGACGTTAATATCTACAACTTTTTTTTCTAAATTTCAAATTAGATGCAAAAACCGGGTGGCCAAAGTTCAATCAATATTGGTTATTAACTCAAAAACAGTTGAAAATCATTATAGAAAATTTATTAATTAGATTAAAATAGGCCTAGAATTGTGCGAATATACAATAAACAGTTCGCCATTCCATTTAAAAAAAGTTAACTTTGGTCTGCCACTTGAATTTGAGACGCCCTGTATCAATTGGTGTTATCTTAAAATAAACTAGACGTTAATATCTACAACTTTTGTATTAAACATTTTTCTCTAAATTTCAAATTAGATGCAAAAACGGGATGCCAAAGTTCAATCAATAACCCTGTACATTGCAAACCTAAATATTTCTAAATGTTTGGGGTACCACCATTTGAAGGCGAGAAAAAAGGCACCCTGTAAAATTCGCTTGATGATGAAGTAGAATATCACTTTGAGGATGCAAAAACTACCGGCTAGAAATACTAATGAAAAATCCACAAAGTTGTCGATTAAAAATGTAATAAATTTGTGTCTTTGATCGTTAACGCATTGTATAGCAAATCACAGTTGACTTTAAAAAATAATAATTTATTGAATCAAATTGGATTTTTGGGAAAAATGCAAAATGGGACAATTTTAAAGAAACAAAGAAATGTCGGGTTTCAGTCATAAAACATGCTTATGGTTGATGATAATCTTTAGTACATTATTGACTGCAACTTAGCAGAAATTTTAGTTTTCAACTGAAAAACTCGGTCGATTTATACCGGGTGTTCCAAATTGGACTGTTCACAACAGATGGTTTTCAAATAATAACTCATTATTGTTTAGTGCAATTATTAATTAATCCAATGTTAACTCACTTTCTTGATATTTTTGAAAAGAACTGAACAAGAGTTTTATTTTAAACAACAGCTAACTATGATTTCTTTTGGGGAGAAGCATAAAAAGTATACGCCACTGGATTACCCTCGAAAAAGTGTCTTAAGAATGTGTTTGCAGAAACTATTTCCACAAAATAAAAAAAAATGGTGTGCGTCACGGGACGCTCGACAGAAGTGATGAACTTCATAAATTAATAGAAACCATAAAATATTGAACTTGTTTAACGCATGATGGCAATAATTATTTTATTTTATAATTTTAATATTCTTGTTAGTCTACTAATTTATAAATGGATCAGGAACAGATAAAATTTAATTTCTTTTTGAATGTAAAATATCTTTTTTATTTGCAACATTTAATATTCTTTAACGAGATGTTGTACATATTACTCCTCTTGGGTTTGTGTAAACTCTTCTTCTTGAGTTTCTGTATTTTTTTGTCGTAATTTCTTATTTGCTTTGTATAATCTTTGACGTTCAGTACTAGTTCGTGGTTGATGAAAGCTACTTTGAATTGATCTATTACTTAATGCTTTTTTTTAGCACGAAATTGTTTTTGGCGTTCAGCATTACTTAATACTTTTTGCATTGTAGCATGTTTTTGTGACTGCTGTTGTGTATGTTGCTCATGAACGTCTGCTACAACTTGTATCTGAATAGGACTAAAAAATCAATTAATTTTGGTGATTGGAAGACGTTCTATCTGTTTAAAATAGACGGTAAAACGAGGAAGAGCTATAGAGACAGGATACACTTGACACACTATATCTGTACATAATATAAGCCATCGCGCGTATGTTCAAAAAAAAAATTCTAACTGAACTAATCCAAGGCTAAAAAAATTAAGCTAAATTGAGAAGATTTAATCATAAAGGAATCAAAGGGTATATGAAGGGAAATAATCCATTTTGAAGCGTGGTAAACACAATTAATCATAGAAATAATATAGAGAATTGAAAGTAAGCCATAATAAATTCGTTTTACATATATTGCAACTATAAGCTGAAGAGAGATTCGTATCGTCTTAACATCAAGAATGCGTTGCGTGATAGAAAATAAGAAGACGGAAACCATGTTTTCTGAAATAACCGAGGAAAACTCAAATATTTTTTCAATTAAATTCAAAACATATCTATTATACAGGATGTCCCGTAAGCTCATGATCAAAAGGGTACTGCGATATCCTTTGGACCAAAAGAAGACGATCTGACTTAACTTTTATTAACAAAAAATGCCTAGCTCCTCTGCTATTGATGGTCAAAGTTCTTCAAAAAATTTATCTTTTTTGAAATATCGGGAGAATGGTACGATGTATTTTAGTGAAACTTGCTGTGAATTTGTTCTTATGTAAGACTCATATTTTGATGAAACAATCGAGTTCAGCCGTTTTGGACAAGTGGGGAATTCTTGAGTGTCGTGGTACAAAAACTACCTGAACGTTTTAGTTGGAGGATCAAATTAACTCATTTTTTTTTAGGTTGATGCACTAATCACTTATTCACAATTTTGTGCTCTTTGTAAAATCTTGTAGCATGCATAGTTTTTGCGAAGAAATATATCTGTTTCCTTGCCACTTAACAATGTTAGATATTAACTATTAAGAATTACCTGAAAATCATTAAACAGGTAGGTAGTAATATTTTACCGAATCGTGCAATACAATGCAAATGGACATCATCTGGGCAGCATATGGACTACAGACGGAGAGTAGGACATAGGGAATCGGTACCGGGATTCTATCGATACGATGTAATTTAATTTAATCTTTTCTTGATACGAATTTGCGTCCACAATCAATCAGGCGATTTAAAATAGGTCCAACATTTTTTCAAAAACTTTATTGTATTGGATCTGAGGCACAATTTTGTTGCACAACATCGATTATTAGTTCTTAAAACAATATTTAACAGTGCACGGCAATGTGCAATATCATTTGCAATGATAAATACCCAGTCGTTTGAAGATGATTTTCAAAAGTTTGTAATACATTTCTCTGCAAATTGATGGACGATCCGCATTTTTTTGCACTTAAACTGCTTTAGTGTGTATAATTGTGTGTGTACTTTAATTGGAAATTTAAAAGACGGCGAAACTCGAACAGGCATGTAGTACATGAGCACTCTTTACCTAGTATTTGCAGTATCTGCAGCTTCTCCCTTGATAATTTCTTGATTCATTGTTATCAGCGTTATAAAATAAACTGCACCTAACGCAATAATATCACACTCAATAATTGATAAATCAAAATCACTGTCATTTTAATAACGCAATGTGTATTTGAAAAGTTCATCAGATCTACAGATGCACCCGCACTAAGAGAAAGATGTCCAATTCAAAGTGCATATCATAGAGAAAGTTAAATAATTATATAATAATTATTTTACAATACATTATTAATATATTTTACAATTATATAATAATTATTTTACTTACGCTATGGTGCATATGTGCGTCCCAAACTTCAGACACAAAGAGGCCGGAGTGGGAGCCGCCGTGACCGAGAAAAATCGGTTTACCCTCCCATAAAAAGTTATCACTTCAAAAAGTTATCGACAATTTATAAAATGACCCAAAGTTGAAGCATTAATCTCTATTAAAACTGTCTATATTGGACCACCCTGTTTATGCCTATTACAAATAGAGTGAACCCTGAGATAAACCCAACAACAGGGCTGGTAATTTCAAAATTTTGCACGACCTAAAAGCAAAAAAGTTCTGTCTTTCCAACACTGCTAAATATGCAGGCAAAATACTCCGCATTGATTTCATAATGTTGAACATCTGAAGACTTTTCAGGGAAAGCGACAACATTGTACGAACAGCGAGAGGTAATCTAGCCGGAGCACGAGCAACGTAAATTTCACCTCCTCGACCGTTCTGCGCTCCTGATAAAAGCGCGCCATTCGCTTTCAGCAATAATAAAATAAAATTTATTGTGAATAGAGAAATTGCACAAAAACCCGACTGGGTTTTCCCGCCTGTAAATGCCCTTTGATGCAAATTTCCCGATTTTCATAATTCCGCTTGCAACAGCCTAATTTTGATGAATTGCGATGTCGACTTTGCTCATCAACATCGCAACCGGCCGCCCGCCCATTCCCATTACATTCTAATCGCCCTCTTTTCCTTTATAAGGAAACAGCTTCAAACTACTGGAAGGCCCACTTAAATCCAATTAAAAACTACATTTAAACTGCAGGGAAATTCATATTTGCATCGGCTAGATTGACCTCATCCTAGCTGGGTAATAAATAGTTAATTCGCACCTACAGTTAGTTACAAGCAAACCGTCTTATCGGTACTCAAAACCGCTCGAGACCAACCGGATATGGCCAATAAGGAATTAAAATAATTATAATCTAATGGTGCTTTCTCTCCCAAATGGACGATGGATGGGTTTGCCGATGATTGAAATTTCAAAGTTCGAGCTGAAAACGCGATCGGTTTTGAGACGCCCTGTTTGATTAGTCTGGAGATACGTGACAACGCCGACAATATTACCACAGTGACATGTTCGGTTGTTAAAAAAAATCGCAGGACAAAATACTTACATAAAACAAGTCGTGGCAAAGCGAATTACATTCGGGGAATAAAAAACTAACCATAGAGAAAACGTCGCACACTTCAAGAACCTACGTGACTGCTGAACTTTGCATTGTTTTCGCCTAGTCAGGCCAAGAGCAGGGTACAGCAGCTCTGGGGGCATTTGAACTGAGCAAAAGGACATAACCACAATCGATATTTATCGGGAGAGCCCTAAAGGTTTTTTCCTGCCTCTTATGCGGATTCTACATATCGGACCTGGGCAAAGACGCAAACTTTTGGGAGTGCACACTTGCAACTTAGTCTGGCTTGCCGGTTGATCAAATGCGAGGTTTTTTTGTTAAATCCGCTTCAAATATGGCGTCTAGAACGAAAATCACACATTTAAAGCCTGCCCTAAATCAGTTTTTTTGACAAAATTCGCCCCGGCTGCTCAATGATCCACTTGCAAAAAACCTGCCAAAGTGCAACTTCGTGTCGGATTTTCGGGCTTTCCACTGGAAATTAGGCCGTGACAGTTTTGTATTTGCGATGTGGAGGGTCTGTAGGATTTTAGCAGACCATTTTCAGTCACAAGATTACCTTTACAGCTGCTAACTCGTCCTTAAAATTGTATTCTGGGCATTTGTCTTCATTCGATTCTGGCAATGACACTCGAATCCGCACAGTTCTTGTCGGTTTTTTCACCACTTTTGCACACACTTTTTGTGGTTCTAATGTTGATAAAACTACACGTTTAATGTCTGACATAGTTCATCACAAAAAACTTAACTAAATAACACTGCCCGGCTTTACTCCAACATGTTTAAAATGCACTACTCTGGCAGCCAAACAAGCTATTCAAAGTTACTTTCGCATTTCGGCGCATGTTTCTGCGCAATGCATGGCATTTAAAACTCAACGCATAGAACGCTTCTCCTTTCCCATCTTAGTTGGCTGGTGCAGCAGTAGATGACACACTATACATACATTTATGTCTTTATTTTATTATACATTGATTATATATTATACTTTATATTTTGCACTTTATTTTTATATTTATTTGCTAAATAAACCGATTGCCACCATCAGAGAAACGTCTATAAGCCATATACAGGGTGTCCAAAGTCCAAAAATCACAGGTCCATATCTATCTAGCGATTTCAAAAAACATAAATTCTTTGATTTTTTCAGATATTTAAAGAAAAGCGATTTTTTCGACTTTTGCTTTTATTCATTTTTAAGGTTATTTCAAATCATATAAAAAAACAAAAAATGCTTTCGATTTTTAGTCACCATCAGGCCATTTTTGACAATTTTTTTTCAACTTGCGATGGATTTACGAAATGGTTTTTGCAGGCCGGATGTTGGCATTCTTTTATTCAATGACGAAGTGAGAGAATTGCTTTCGGCTGTATTTTATAGGGCAAAATCTGTTCTACTAGTGCCAAAGGTTTCGACTGTCAATCATCATCAGGAAATTTTCAAGAATTTTTCAAAGCTGCATGTGGATTTTCGAATATTTAAGCAGGTCGTAGTTTGACATTTATTTGCGCAGAAACTTGAAAAATTAGAGAGTGACTTTCGCACCACACGCAAGAGGAAAATATTTCGATTTCCACTCATCCTCAGGAAATTTTCAGGATTTTTCTGGAGTTTCATTATTGTTCGAAATTTTGCGCGTGTTTGATGCCAGTTCGAGTCTCAGCTGGCAACGCTGCATTGACATCAATCTGACATGCCATTCGGTAAATTTGCTTAATTTGTTGGAATTAATTAATTTTCAAATAATGAGCTCCGATTTTGGCGATTTTTCATCCGAACTCTCCTCTAAAGGAGACGACAAGGAGCTACAGGAGTTTCTAATGGTGGAGAAGCAAAAAGCCCAATTCAATGCCCAGGTGAGGTTATGTCATAGTGTCTCTGAATTTTAAAACATGATTTTTGAATTAAACATGTCTCGTTAGATCGTTTGCGGCTGTTGGTATTATTAAGGAAGCTTATAGTTCAATATCGGTGCACCTCAAATCCAAATATTGAATATTTGATCTTATTTACTGCTGAGTCCCAAGTTCAACTCTGCTAGTTCAGATTGAAGGTGTAACAAAACGTTAGGGGCCAAAAGCTGCAAAGTTGAGCTAACATTGGCACTATAACTTATTCTTCATGTTGGTGCCGGTATCATTTATACCCTGCGGTATTCTGCATTTTTTTATGTGAACTTAAAGTCTAGGTAGTTGATATTCAGCAGCTTCAGTGAGAAATAATCTTGAATAGTTCATGAACTTCACAAAAATTTACTTATGCCGGAAGAGTATATTCCATTCCTTATTTTATGAACACTTTAATTAGAATTAAAATCTGAGTTTCAATTAAATAAAAGATTTCAGGTAAATAATGTATTTTTTATCAATATTTTTTTATAATTGGTTAATTTAGTATACATCTATATTTTTGTTCATCAGATACACGAATTCAACGACTTTTGCTGGGACAAATGCGTGGAAAAGCCAGGGAATAAACTGGACAGCCGAACCGAAACCTGCCTAACCAATTGCGTGGACCGATTTATAGATGTTTCTTTACTTATCACAAATAGGTTTGCTCAATTATTGCAGAAAAGCGGCGGTATGTGAATACGGTGTGGGGTGAATTTAAAAAAATGTAATCCAGGTGTAGAAGATGTAGAAGAATTCCAGCTGACTTAATAAAAATGTAAAGTGTTATTAAAGTAAACATTTTTATTGATTAATCTATGTATAATAAATTTTTGTTAAGATATGCTTTTTTTTAATTAACACCGTAATTCTGTGAACAATCTTGAGTAACCTCAGAGACTGCTTGCACATTGAAAGTAAAACAATGTCATTCGCCTAAGTATGTAGACAGCATGAAAGAAATCAAAGCTGGTTCATTCACCAGATGGGCAACAAAACTATGCATTATTTAGAACCTTTTCGCACTGCTTCAAACGCCAGCATTTGAACCAATGTATCGCTATCAGTGGCGCTTCTTTTTGACGCGCTTCTAGGCGGTAGTCAGCCACTGAACGCCACAAAAGCGCTGCTAAATCGGTGGTCGGGTCTCGGTCGCGCCCTTGTGAATACTTCCATATAAATCAATGTACCTTCAAAACGCGCTTCTCAGCAATGCCACTACGAAGCGCTGCAGAGTGGCCCGTGTGAAATAGCTGCTCTTAATGGCCGTGCTTGTAGCCCAAAATATCAACTTAAAATGCTGATGTTTGCACATGAGCGGAAAGTTTCCCGCGGACCGCATCATTCTACAGACGTATCTTGGCCTCAACTACCCCAATTGTTACCTAACAATATTTTGCTTTAACCAGCGTGTATAAGCCACTGCTTACTCACAGTCACATAATGCCATCTGAACATACATTTATCACAAACCATATCGTTGGGCAATTGAACGTAGCTGGTAATGTTGAATTGTCCTGCCGCAACATTTTGAGACACAGAGCCGCCCTCAAGAGTCAGAGACTGGAAGCAATCTTCATTCTACAACTCCGTTTTCGTTGCTTCTTGGAATGGAGTTTTTGTAGTCGTCCCCAAAGACTCCACATTTATCATCATTGGTACCATATTGAACCTATAGAAGTTCAGATTTAGTAATTTCAACTTCAGTCAACTTACTGTTAGACTGGCACAGTAAAGCTGATTGTCGTCGTAGCAGTAAGGAATCGTTTCATCGTCCTTATCCAGCCTTCATCTGGAAGCTCTGTTAATTGGGGTGAAAATGTAGGTATCCATGATTGAATACTTCCCCGATTAATGCATAGAAGTACCGATATGTGAAGTATGTGCGCCATTTGGAAAAACCCATCTTTTAGCTGATATTAATTTGCAATTATACTGGGAAGCTCTTGTCTGTTATATCTTATCAATGCGTCCCTGAGGCACGTTTTTAGGCCACTTCAAATATTTTTTACTGGTGATTTTTAAATAATTTGTCCTCATTGATTGATTGGTGATGTTGATTTGCAACTTTTATGCAAATTTGGAGTTTATATGAGTACCTAATTAGATAGTTAAGTTTTTCAAGTAGGTAGTTTCGCCCTTCAAATGCAGCTCAACATTCGAAATTAAATTGCTGTTACTGATTAAACTGTTTTTTAATTTAAAACCTGGGCGCTGTCATGAAGAAAATACACTCACTTTGTGTGATTCGTTCCTTTTGTCTTATTATTCAATGGAATTTTTCAGTTGTTTATCAAAACTGAATTTTCTAACAAAAATTACTCATTGTTTTCGCTAGAAGTGGTCTGGAGCAGCTGCATTCCATGTTCAAGTGTTTAGTGAACCCAATGTTGTATTTACAATTGTGCGTAAACGCACTTTAAAGTGCGCATTTTCTCAATATAATTTTTTTTAAAGGTCTAATTCTATTAGGTCTGTTTTCCTATTTTAATGTGGTATATTCTATCTCAAATTCAATGGATCGTTATCGTTTCAATAGTTCGATTTGTAATTTAAAACTTATATAGAGTGATTTTTGAATATGGCGTAAAAATGTAGTCAAATTTCCTGGGCGAAAATATCAAAAACATACAGAGTGGGCAAAGATACATAGGTACAGCAAGACGTGATAAACAAAGATATTTTGAAATTTTTAATTTAATTTGGAAGTTGGTTCTGCTTTTAATGCAATTTGGACATGTCAAAAATGAGGTGATTAAACGCTCTTGAGCAAAATTTGTAAAAATAATCCTAAGTAAATAAAAAAAGAAACTGCATATGCGCGTATCCCTACCTAATAAAAATAAGAAATAATTATCAAGGTATGTAGTAATAAATTAACTATAAATTGAAATTTTTTAAATTCAATTATTTTCGTAAATCCGTTATTACATTTGTCGATTCTACGCCGAAATTTATTACGACTTATAACTTCACAATAAGCATTTTTTTTATGATACAATTTTCAAATTGGCTTACAAATCATCCTGAGCGACGGTCGCTAATTGCAGGCTGAGCCGAGCTGATGAGAGCTAATAAGCTCGAAACCGGTCCTGGGGGTGCCTGAGGTGAGTGAACCTCGAAATTTACAGAGTCCTTATATCTGAGCTGAATCTGTTTTCCATGAGCTTATGCAGAAGGCGGAAACCTCGCACATTCCCAAGTTAGGGTAAATAGTACAACAATAATATGAAATTCAGTTTACCCAAAATGTGTATTCATCTGCTACTTGAAAAATGTTCGGTTCACTCGTTTTTTGTGTAATTTCCACATCGCATATCTCAGAAAAAATGTAACAAATCTGCAATACTTATGAATCATCATCATCATCATCATCAAAAACAAGTAATCGTTTTTTATCGTTCAGCACTTGGTGGAATCTTTTAGTGAATGATTTTTCCATCCGTTCCAAGTAGCGCCTGCTTGAAATAACAATGGACCAACCACTCAAAAAGCTTTATCTGTTTGGCTCCTGAATTTGGTAGAACCATCAAAAACCCCATAACTTTTAGAAGCCTAAAATCACTTCAACTTCGGAAATTCTCTGAAAAATCAGTTGTTTCAGCCCAAAAAAATTCCGCATGACTAACGCAAAAATCCGTTGTCGATAAGAAGTATCTCAGATCGTTGAGCTGATATACTTAGACCTAAATAAGTATAAATATTGGTGTATCAGTAACTAAGTCACTAAGTTAACCAACAATAGATAGACAAACCTAACAATGAATATTTCCGTTAAACTAGCGGTAATTTTTTGCATAAGCATTAGGAGTGCGTTTGGGCATGGGTATATGTACAGTCCAATTAATCGAGCCTCTAGATGGAGATTAGAGCCGACCAATTGGAACATCACTCACAACTACGAGGACAATCAGTATTTCTGCGGCGGCTTTGCAGTAAGTTTTGCAAACTGTACTTGAACTTTTTGAAAGCAAACTTTGCTAAAGGTGCAATATAGTGAAAACGAGGGTAAGTGTGGCCCTTGTGGGGACGATTGGAGCGATCCAGTTCCTCGAAGCAACGAAAATGGAGGCACTTATGGAAACGGTGTAGTGGTGGCTTCATATTTATCCGGCAGCCTCATTAAGACTGATATCCGAATAACAGCCAATCATAGAGGGAATATTTCCTATCAGTAAGTGGAGGACATGAGTTGATTTGAAAGTAAAATTAAAGACACTCTCGTCAGGTTGTGCGTTTTAAACGACACTCTTCTGCCGGAAACAGAAGATTGTTTCCAGCCAGTGCGTTTACTGGATGGGTCGTTTTTCCAAAAAATATCCAGCGAGGATTACAATGTGACCAGCTACATAAAATTGCCTCTTTGGTTGACTTGCGATAGATGCGTTTTAAGGTGGCATTATTCAACTGGTAAGCATCAGGGTTAAGTTTTTTGAAACTTTGCCGAAGTACTAGTTGATAACCTATGCGTAATGTTGCATTGTTAGGAAACAACTGGGGAGTATGCGATAATGGTACTTCGGCTCTGGGATGCGGACCTCAGGAAACGTTCCGTTCGTGTGCCGACATCGCAATTATTCAACCAACGTGGTGGAGACGTTTCAACTTTTTAAATAACTATTTTGCCAAAATAATTTGAGTTAATTATTATTATTTATTATAGTTTTTAAACTTGTTTGAATACAGTCTTTTTTAACCACCCGCATTGCTGGCAAGTTGCAAGCAATTTTTTTTATTTCGTCTCTGTTGATTTGGTTCCGTTGGTTTTGAAAATGTTTGAGAAAATCCTGGTTTTTGTGCGTCTTGGGTCTGTGTAACCCAATAAATCCGCATAATACTTTCTCCAATAAACCACATTAAAAATTAATCAAATCCCATACAATAACATGCGCATTGAATGGGTTTAAAGAGACCGACAAGTGCTATCAGATAACGTGCTTTTAAGATCTAATAGAATCCGATATGATCTATTGATAGGATTTTTTATGCGGTACCTTTTTTACAGGTACGTACAGCGAGCTTTTAGCGTTCTATAGAAAGCGGCATTATTGTGTATCACTAGACACTCGCGAATTCTATGGCTATCGGCTACTATTATCCTACATTAACTCTTTGTGTCGTAAAGCATTCATTGTCTAGATGGTATTAAATTTTTCTCGGATCAAATAGTGGATAAATCTCCGAACGCATATCTATCGGTTAGTTTCAACTGAAATCGGAATACGCCTGAATCGGAGTAATCGAATGGAGTTTTGATTGGATTGAACGTTTACGGTGCTCCATCTTATTTTTGGCCAGCCCCTAACGAAGTGTTGAATGTTAACGTTGCAACAAACGAAAACTGAACTTCGACAATTCTTACAATTTTTTGCACATGTTAAATACGTATTTTTAATATTCACTAGAGTATGTGTATACAGACTAAGTGTATAAAAAAGCATTTTGCTCAGTATTCTATGAAACTCTGCATGTGGACTGAAAAAAATTTCTGACGCAAAATTCACTATATTCTAAAATTAAATTTGCAAATCGCTTTAATGATATCTAATTAAACACAAAACCTTCAACCAGAAGGTAAAACGGAGTTGGCGTGACGTTCATTTCTACCAACCGATGTGTAAATGAAGAAGGGCCAGTTGATGGATTTGAGCCGATGGTATTTCAGGGAGCCATTTCAAATATTTGCCTGATTAAAGTAATGGAATATTTCTTCTGATTTAATGGCAACTGTGACATGCTTCTTGATGTATTATGCATGTAAATAAACCAACCAGCCAACCCCTTGTTTTTTTTCTTTTATTCACGTCTTTGAGATCTTCCTGAAGATAAGCAAGGTTTTATTTCGAAATCTCTTCTAATCAATTTCTAGTTTTTTCAATCAACATTTGCTCACCTTCGTCGTTTGCCTGAGAACAGTTTGTCAAATTTTACTAATTTTAATACATAAAAGCCAATGCAAGAGCAAGACAGTACAAAAATAGCAGTTTCTGCTCTTTTATTATGAAAACATAGTCCAGTTCAGAAAGCAGTAGAGATCTTAATAATGAAGTAGCAAATAACAGGCCATTACGGAAAAATCCCAAAGGGACAAAATATCCACTCAAGCTTTTCAATATTTAAGCAAAAAATAATTAATTCATCGCAATTCCAATGTTACTCAAGGGTTGTTGCGGTCAAAGGCCAACAACTAAACTATAATTTGCGGAAAGCCGTTCTTTGTTCTTCCATGGGCACCTGGACAAGTCCCACGATCCCTGTTCGAAAGTACAAACATCCCCTAAGCCCACTTTATCAACAATTGCCGTAATACTGTGAAATGGACGTTTTAATTATGGGCTCTACTGATCATCAGACAATATTTCGGTTCCAACCAACCTGTTCTCAATGTGTTGAATGGAGTTCTGCATCATTGTCGGTAAAATTCACATCAAAAAACGAGAAAAATACTCCTTCCTGTGAAAGGCTTAAAGAGTGGTGTTTTAACTAAGAGGAAAAAACCGGCTTATATAAATACTGCTTCCTTTACCTTTTCAATTTCGAATGGCGCGTAATTAGATCCCTAAGTGGTGTAATCTTAGAAGTTTGGCCAATGTAAAGGCTTGGGGTAACTGAAGAGACGACGTGCCATGTATATAAATATTTTATCGGCGGCATGGAGGAACCACATGAAAAATTTCACTTACAATGGCACAATGTGAGACTGGCGCGTCCCAATTTCATTCAATTAAACCGATAAAAAGCTGAACCGAAGTACCGATAAAGGGATGGTACCGCCCTCGCTCAAAGAAAATTGCCGATCGTAAAGCCGGCGTTTAATTTCCTTTATTGCTTTTGTGTACCTGAGAATATGGTTTTCTTCATAGATAATTTCGAGAGCATCCTTCCATTAGGTGTTGAAAAAAATTATAGATAGAGTACAAGTAAATTTTATAATAATTAAACACTATAAACAGATTTTCCCAGAAGGAACTTTTCGTTTCCCTGATTGTTCCCAGTTAAGCGATATCACCGCAAAGGAGGAAAAATGGTAAAATTAACCACAATGACTCTGCGTAAGAAAACGAACTCGAAGAACCATTGAGAAAAAAGTGGAGAAAGCGCAAAAAATAGTGCAAAGGGAAAAGTTAGCGTGGACAGTCCAACAGGTAGAAAAGAAGTAAAAGGTTCATCCAAAGAAGTTAACACTGGAAAACATAGGTAAATTTGGATTTGTCTTTAAATGAAAATTCTGATTAGAATCAAGCGTCAAACTTTTTCAGTCTTCAAAACCCTTCTTGAAATCGTAAAAAAGCCAGAAGAAGTGAGAACCACCTGGTTTCACTGTGCATCACCAGCCACTATTATTTTTAACGACATTTTTGACTCACTATAATAACTAGAAACAAAATGCTGAGAAAGTTAGAACCTATTTTTATCACCGAGGGTTTGAATCATATGCTTGAACTTAATCGTGCTATTGTCTTCATAGAATATGCATAAAAATGTAATTTTTCTTACTAGGATTTTCAAAGCCGATTCGTTGAGTACGTGCGTGGTATAATGACGGTCTTTAGCATCAGCCAGTTATAAATCACCCATCAGTATCGACAAAAAGCAAATATTACTTATAGTTAATAAATGCACGATTAAGCGCGCTGTGCCCAAAGTGAAACTCTTCAATGAGAACCTACTCGAAACCGAGAGGGATAATCATTAGAGGCCCAATTTTCAGACCATCGATCACCTCCCGATCTATCCATTTCAGCTTTCAACAGGAACTATTTACTTATATTAACATATTCGAAATGTAAGTTTTATTTGTACTAAATAGTTTTGGTAATTAATCATGTCGAAGGAATCGGTTGACAGGGGACAAACTGTAAATAATAGTGACCTTAACAAGTTCAACAGCTCATAATTCTTCTTCTTGGCTATAATTTTCGGGTTAAAAAGTGCGGTTTGATGATTTGTTCCATTCCAAATGCTCATTGATGGGTTGTTTAATGTTTTGTAGCAGACTTCATGGATTTTTTTGTTAAAGTCCTGTTAAATGTATTTGGAGATTTTATGTCATTGCTTTCTTTTGAGCATCTGTATTCTGTTGTTTGTCTATTCCTGGTGATTTACTCGTTGTTCTATGGATTCATTTCTTCTGCCCTTAACTTAAAGGCTTTTTGAGTTTGTTGCTTCCATCGAATTTTCAGCCTGTTTAGAAAATATCTTAAAACTGAATTTCAGTTGCTTTCCATTTAAAGCGAGCAAACTTCATTTGTTGATAATCAGCACTTTTAGGGTGGAAGGTAACATACATTAGATAGGTAGAATCAATATAAGAAATAAATCAGCATGAGATCTGCTGGAAAAGTTTACCCAAAGTTGAAATTGTTTCTGGAACGTATTGCAGAAATGTTTATATTTTCCTATAAAAATCGGACTTTATTTGAATGCTCGTATATCAGGAAATGAAATACATTATTTTTGACACCCTGAATCTTAAAATCTTAGTACAAATACTCGAAGTTTAAGCCCGCGAAAAATACGCACTAAAATACATCCAAGTATCAAGTGTTTCGGTCAGGGTCTGAGGGCGTAAAATCGGCTAAATTTGGAGGCCAAATCTACTGTTCTCCGTCGCCAACCCAAGGAGCGATTTTCCAAATAAGGATCTGATAATTGTGAACAAAATCACATACTTGTGATAAGTAAGTAAGTAAGATACATACTCTTAAGTCTTTCAAAGGTGTTGCAGTAGCAAAATTGGTAAAACGAGCAGGAAGTGGGCGAACGTAATTGCGGTAAAGCTGAACTATTTCAAACAATCACTTGAGTTTTCACACCTACAAAACGAGAGAATCAGCCGACAAGCGGGCCCGCAAAAGCTCTGAAGGTGTGAACTGTATAATTAGAAAACAATACATTACCAAGCTCGACAATGGCGGCGGCAGCTTTTACAATGGCGCAGGGTTTCATTGTAACCGATGACGTAGCGAAGAACGAAGAGTGGTAAACACAATACGCGTGTTCATCTGTCATTAACACTCGTAGCTGATTATTAAATTATTAAACAGGATGACCCGCATACCCGCTGTTATTCTAAAACAACTGAAATAATCGTCCGATGCTTATTTGTAGACATATCTCGTCTTTGAAATACCCCAATTAGTCGAGGCGGCCTCTAATTAGGGCAGTGAATTGATGCCGCACCACTACAGTGACTTTTCAACTTTCGTATCAATAGAAATTCATTTCAACCGCACCAATCCGATCATTGCGGCATGACAAAAAGTGCCGAAAAAACGGGAAATAAAAGAAACCATTTCCCATTTTTCCCGTATAAAAAATGCAGCTGTCTAGAGTTTCTTTCCAAGAATCGTCTTTAGTTTGTCTATATGATGTTTCAACAATAGTCCTTCGGATGAGTTCACTTCTGCTGAAGATTTTCACTTTTTCCGTGTTCGTTTCGATTTTCTTACACTCACATTTTTTTCTCTTCATCTCGCAGCTAAATCGTCGCTCTTGCCGAAGTGTATGTTAAATTCGATTTCTTTTCATACTGTTTTTAGTTTTTTGCTTCTAGTGGAAAATAAATTTCAGTTTATTCAAATCCTTCCGGATTTGCTAAAATAATTTAAGTGTTCTCTAATGTGCTATAATTTTTTTTTTCAAGAAACTTTTCAGTTTCTTGTCATTCCTCTAGTTGCTGTCCTGTTCAGCAGTTTCGC